TATTATTAATAAATTTAATATAATAATTAATGAATTAATTAAGTTAATTAAAGAATATATATATTTTTAGATTAATTTAAAATATAATTATAAATAAGTTTTGAATAATTTAATTTAGTTTTAAACTGGCTCAAGTTGGCTTAAGCTGGCTTAAATAGCTTGGCTCAAAAGCCAGCTTAAGCTGGCTTAAATTTAAGCTATTCCTATCTTTATTAATATTACAAAGACTTACATCATAGTAAAAAAGAATGTTATGAATTAATAGGTTAGTTAATCAAGTACAAAGCAAATGTTACACCTTAGGATCTTGAATTTTCTTATAATTTAACACCTTACATATAGTAGGGAGTTGTTGAGAATAAATATATACACTTACAAGAATTAGCAAAAACCATGTTTGCTATTGTACTCTTCCAAGCCAACTGTGAACGAAATTTCTCTATCTTGAAGTGGTTCAGTGAAGGACATTGCATATAGCTTCAGGTTTCCTAGTTAGAAAGCATAACATAATTTATTCATTTTATATTTCAAACATAAAAAAAAAATTAAATTTTTGTAACAATAATTCTGTGAATATGAAGCTATGCAATAATAAAATGATTTTTGCAGAAATTGATCATCCTGATTTAAATAATAATGAAAAGGAAGATGAAATAGAAGTTGTAGACTTTACAGCAAATGAAATTGCAATAGTTTTTCAAGATTGGGTGGATATATCAGATACGATATTTGGATTAAACAATAATCAAGAAGAAACTATATTGGCTGAAAAAGAAGTAAATATGAATTTTGAAAATAGGTCTTTGGTTCAGGATGTATTAAGTGATAGTGATTTAGATGAATAATACTGTATTGAATATTTTCAAAGTATTTGAATTTCTTTTATTTTTGAATAAAAATATTATAAGTCATTTTGTTTTATCTTCAAAGTAATATAGTAATACAGTTTTTTAAAAATCCTGCATGGCTGCATAAGATTCGCAGAATATAGTAAAGTTTTTTAATTTTTTATAAATTATAAAAATATATATAAAGATAATTACTAGAAATATAATTTCTTATTAAAATAATATATTTTAAATACATTTAGCATTTCCAAATGATGCCATATCGATTTATTAACACCTATGTTATAATAATGTTGTTTAAAGATTGGCTTAATAATAGTTATATTGATTATAACAAAGAATAGTAAGTAAGAACTACAAACAGCAAAAAAAAATTTAATCAAGTATATATATATAGATATAGAATGATAAATAAATAAAAAATTCTACATAGAAATGCAGACCAGGGTAAAAAAAACCTGTGCAAGATTATGTGCAAGTTTTTGTGCAGATTCTGCATGTGGTCTATCTCTATACAAAGGTAAGAAGTTAAAAAATGAAAGCCTTTTTGAAACCAATCAAATAATTAGGATAAAATGCAACATTTTTTTAAATACCTTTTGAGCAAAAAACAAAAATTTGCGAAATAAAAATTAGTATATAAAATAAAAGTTAAAAAAAAGATAATTTTTTAACTCTCCTTATTTATACAGATCAAGGAATTTTCTTTAAATGTCTTTTATCACTTTGAAAATAATAAATATTGAGTTATATTATGCAAAAACTTTGTTTCAAGGTTTTTTTAATGATAATCACAATCAATTTATTCGATCATATTTGAAAAATCAATTGATCATGTGATCACTAATTTTTTTTTATAATATTGATCTTTAGTGAGACCATAGTTGATACCAAAATATGATGTTATTATAATGAGTTATTTGTATAATTGTTAAGAGAGCAGTTAGCTGAAGATGAAGTGATATTAGTTTTAGATATGTTACCTTATTTGAATAAGATCCAAACCTGATTTTTATATGTAAAAAATTTAGGATTTCTAGCTGTAATAAAAATTATATGTTAGAAATATTTGACATTATGACAAATAAGAGCATTTTGTAAAACCTAGTAAATATTATTTGGGATTCTGCCAAATTTTAAACAAGTAGGTTTGGGCTGCAACTCTAGTTAGGTTGTTAACTCCCCAAGTAATAGGTTAGATGTTCAAATCTTATTGACAGTGAAAATTTAAATAATCACCTATATAATAATTATATTATAGCAACTGTTACTAATGATTAGGTTAGGATATTTGTAATAGCAGTCACACCAATATGACTGGCAGGTCATAGGTCTTCTGTGTAAGTATAGCATTATACAGAGGAATGCAAACCAACAAATCAGGTAGTACAAACATTAGATAAGTCCTTGTAGCCATATAAATCTATTGAAATTGGGTAATAAGAAGCCTATTTAAGAAAATTTAAATAGAGAGGTAAATGAATCTTTGACAGCTCTACTGTAAAGACTAGCTTGGAAAAACAGATACCAAGATTATAGTACCTAATTATAGTAGCCAGATAGGCAAAACCTTTAAGTTGGAAGTCTTAGAGGTATCACTAATTAGACAGCTAGAATGAACCAGAAAAAAAGAATATCAGGCTAATTTAATATACTGATAGACTGATCGTAGTTCTATATAGGCAATCTGGATTGAAAGTTTAATAAAAAGGCAAATGAAAAGACAAGGGTATACTAAAGTATCAGAGTTATGTTGTAAAATAAATGCTAGGGTCTAAGTGAACTTTACAAGGGCATAGTAGTTTAATAGTTAAGCCCTAACTGCAAGTGTTGATTCTGCATAATGAGTAGGTAGTTAACAAGAGGGTACTCCCAGAACCTTACAGTCAAGCGACATATTTTGAAATATTTAATGGCTTGACAGATGTACAAAAGAGGAAGCTAAATGTTGGATTAGATGGCACTTAGTTGTACGAGAACCAGATGTTACTTGCCTGAATGTAGTATAAGGATCAGAGTATTTAAATAGGTACCTTCCTAGTAGGTTACAGGTATGGCTATAGATGGCGGTAAAATTATAGTGATAATTTCTACATTCTACAGTAAAAATTGTTGAAATAATTTAACCAAAAATTTTTTAAAATTGAGATGCCAAATTAAATTTCAATTGTTGAAATTAATTTAAATACAAAAATTAAATCAATGGTAGAAATTAAATCAACAGTTGAAACTAAATCAATGCTTGAAATTAAATTACTAGTTGAAATTAAATCAATGGTTGAAATTAAATCATCTGTTGAAATTAAATCAATAGTTGAAATTAAAATTAATAGTTTAAGGGTTCTCACTTAATGTTAATTATAGAGATCATGCACAAGTACTACAAGTAATACTAATAGTAATTTTATCGAAAATTTATGTTGCGAAATGCAGATATTAAATTTTAGCCAATCAGCACAACTCTATTATAAAAAAAGATAGTCTCTGTTTATTTTTTTTTTTATTAATATTATGCTAAAAAAAACTTCTTGTTGCAATAATAAACTCGATTGACCGAATAATTTATTTTCCACTAATTAAATTGAACTCTGATCTCTTAATTTAAATGCTTGGAAGCACTCTAAATTAAATAAGGCACTCAGCTTAATTTTCACAAACTTAATTGTGCAATTAAGGAAATTATTCTATCTAGTTTTAACATAAAAATTATTGTAATTGATCAGATTAAAATGAACTATGTAAGTATAAAAAAATTGACAAACCACCGAAAAATAAAATTGTTAAAGTTAGAGGTTAGTTTTAAAATAGAATTTATACTAAGCAAGTATAAGTGAGTTTGGATTAGATATTAGTCAAAAGTAGAAAATTTTGCCTGTATGAGCCGAAAAAGCATCAACAATATAATAAACAGATATAGTTTGCCACACGCTAAAATCTTTTTAATATAGGCTATTCACACCAGGAAATCGAAAAAAATGGCAAAAATATTGAGAGAAAAATCAAACTTTTTTCACTAATTTAGCCGATAAATCAAAACCAAAAAAGTTTTAGAGGGTTAAATAGAAACTCACATTTAATCCGATTTCATTATGATCCACAGCAATTATTAATTGTACAAGATTTTACATGTTAATTTTAGCTATCACATTTGGGCTAACTTCAATTTCTAAAAAAGAAAATTGAACCGTATTATTACTTAATTCGTATTATTCAGATTAATAGTGATAGATTTAATTGGTTCGTTTAACACAATTAATATATTTGAAATTTAATTTGATTCCAAATAAAATAGAAAGCCTGATTTCAAAACTCAATTAGTGTGAGTTAGACAAAAGATTTGGGGACGGATCAGAAATATGTAAGTATAAAAAAATTGACAAACCACTGAAAAATAAAATTTTGGAAGGCGCATTGTTTAGGATTAGAGGTTAAGGAGAATTTATACTAAACAAGTATAAATGGGTTTTAGAGGATTAAATAGAAACATATATTTCATTTTAATTCGATTTCATTATGATCTATGGCAATTATTAATCGAACAAGATTTTTACATATTAATTCTAGCTAAATAGTACTTAATTATTCGATATATATCGATATTACATTTGGATTCTAACTTCAATTTTCTAAGAAAGAATAAACTATATACTTACAGACTGGTAATTTAACATGTAAGTGAAAGAACAAAGAAGTAATATTTAATAGAGTAACATCCATATAATTAAGCCACTGAGAAACTACTAAAAATACATAATAATGGCTAATACTAGAAAGGTAAGATTAACATGGCTATAATGATACAATTATGCTTAAAGAATTATACAAATACAGAAGTGAGAGACAAGAAAAAAATTATTCGTTACAATAGTATATGATTACATAATAATTAATATGTATTGGTATATATAAATAATAAATTCTATCAAAATACTAACATTGATTATTATATTTTTTCAAATGTCAAGTGTTATTTCAGACAGTAATCATGATAGTCAAGTTCCTGAAACTGATAGAGCTGATAGCTCTGAAGATTCTTCTAGTAATGAAAGTATTAATAAAAAGAATTATAACAATAAAAAAAAAGAAAAAGCTAACAAATCAGTTGGTAGACCCGAAGATCCTGTAAATGCTGAGTATATTAAACTTGGTACACGAGATAAGCATGGACATGTAGCAATAAAGTGTAAATATTGTGAAGAAGTTACACAGCGAGGACGACCTAGTGAAATGAAATCACATTTAGTATTAGAATGTAAAGATGTACCAGGGGACATTAAAAAAAAATACTTGCACATGATTATGAATTCTGAACCTTCAAAAAAAAAAAAAAAAATTGAAATTGAAACTAAAAATCAGCCAAAAATTACTGACAAATTTCAATCAACTCATTTAGATCAAAATCAAGAAAAGCTTATTAACAAAGTTTTAATTCATTTTTTTACTTGTTGTGGAATTCCTTTTTGGGTAGTTGAAAACCCTTTTTTTATTGATTTACTTAAAAACCTTAATGCGGGTTACACACCTCCTAGTCGAAAAATTTTAAGCAATCTTTGGCTTGATCAAGAAACTGCACATATTACAGTAAATATTGATGAACAGCTTAATCGGCTTAAAAATTTAACTTTAGGTAACATTATTTTTAATTTAAAATAATATATAGTACTATATATTAATTATATAAATTAATTAGTTCTTGACGGGTGGACGAGTGGATCGCATCATTCTTATTATGCATTTGTTATTATTACTTCAAATAGACAACAATATGTTCATTCAGTTCAAGATTTTAATGAAATTATTAAAATAATTGAGGAAATTGGTCCAAATAAATTTGGAGCTGTTGTTTCAGATGGTGCTGCAGCAATACAACTTGCAAAAAATTTTGTTGCTAATAAATATCTGCATATTATACCAGTTCGCTGTATTGCGCATCACATTCAGTTAATAGCAACAGATATTATTAAGAAAACTTCTTTTGGATCACAAGTTCTTTTAAAATGCCAAGAATTTGTTACTTACTTTCAAAATTCTCATATGTCTGGTGCCCAGTTAAGAAATGAAATTACTGATTTACTTATTAAAGATGGAGGTTTAAAATTATTCGTTAAAACTAGATGGTGTTCTGCGTGGGATTGTTGTAACTTAATTTTGAGATTAAAACCTGTTTTACGAAATATAAGCATGTTTTATTTAATTAACTTATTGACAATTATTAATTATATATGGATTCTCTTTTTAGTTATTTTTATTTTATTTTATTTATTTTATTTTTAGATTATAGAAAATAATCCGAGAGCACTTAGTAAAAAATTAAGAAATTATATTACAAGTCGTGAGTTTTGGGCTAATGTTGAATGTCTTTATAAAATTCTTGAACCTACTAAAATTGCTGTTAAAACTGTTGAATCATCAAATGTTAAGTTTGCAGATGTGTTTTTAATTTTAGTTAAAATGGCTTTCGCAATTAAAGCTATGCCAACTATGGAAACAACAATTGAAAGACTTGAATTTAGGAAAAATTGTATTGCTTTTTATAACAAATGATAGGCCAAATTTGATACTGACTTTTATTTACTAGCTTATTTTCTACACCCCAAATATCATAGCAGAGGTTTGACTTTAGAAATGTTTGAAAGAATTTTTCGAAAAGCTTTAATTATCTGGAAGTCACAAGGTAGAGGAGACAATAGTGCATAAGAATTAATTGCACAAATACATAATTATGATCTTTAAAATTCTCCATATCATTTTATTTTTCAAGACTATATTGAACTTCCAGAAACCTGGTGGGCCACGATTAAACTACCAAACCACCATCTTCAAAAACTTGCTTTATTACTTCTCACAATTACTCCTCATAGTGTAGGGTATGAGCGTGTTTTTTCAGTATTGAATTGGTTTACTCAAAAACGTCAAAATAGGTATACTATTGTTTACTATATAATTATATTTTATTTGAAAATTTTAATTTATATATATAACTATTAATGTTAAAGATTGACCGTAAAAAAAGTTTCAAATATGGCCAAATTACATGCATATTATGTCACAAATGCATGCCATGAACTTAATTATGTTGGACAAAATCTTCTAGAAAATGATTTTTTAAAAATGATGCAGAATTACACTCATTCGCTTACTTCAGATTTTGCCATGTTTGAAGAAGATATTCAACTATATGATTCCAATGATGATTTTGAGGATAATTATGAAGATTCTACTAATGATGACTTATCCGAAGTTGACTTATCCGAAGTTGATTCTAATATGTTAAATATTGAAAATAGTATTAATTTGGCTTATGCTTTGAATAATACAAATCAACCTACTATTCTAGATGAAATTATTGATCATGGTGAAACTGATTTTGATATTGACGCACTCACTAGTCAAGGAATGCAAATGCGAAATGCATTAGTAGACAAAGAAAGTGAAGATTTTAGTAATGGTAGGGTTAATTAATCTAGTTTATTTATTAATCATATATGGTATCCTATTATAATTCAATTTATAATTTTATTTTATATATACGTAGCATAAATTTTTTAGGGCATAAGATTTATGATGCCTGCTTACAAAGCATATAAATATGTTTTATTTTTTTTTTATAAATATGGATCAAAGTTTTAAATACATTTACTTTCCAGTATTGTTCCTTTTAAATGCCTTCGAACTTTTATAATATCAGACCAATTGACGTATCATGTGTAATGCATAGGTTATAATTACTGACATTTGTCATAACTAGTTACAGCAGTTATGACAATACAACAGATTACAGATTACGGCAAAAGGAAATATATGAAAAGTTGCGAAAATAGGAAAAAGTTAACAATAATACAAGAGTTATAGCTTATAAAAATATAAAAGGTTATAGCAATAAAATCAATGAGTATTTAATAAGTATTTTATTTTCAAAAAAACAATTATTTTTTCAATTATTGCACAATTAAACTTTATTACTAACATTAAAAAAAAACCAGAAATTTCTAATAAAATATTATGGCATACTGTAGGTTAGATCTTATTGCATAAATCAGATGTTCGTCTAAGAACTATATCAAGTATTGTATTAGTAGTGTTGATGATTGGGAGATTGAAAGGCATTGGCCTTCCAACTCTAATACTTTCCAGTAACTTTGCCATTGAAGATCATGTGCAACTAGAAAAACATCAGTATTTGAATATCAATATTCAGTAAAGACTTATACTTGCAATTTTTTTTTTTAATTTCTTTTCATGAAACAGAGACAAGCTATATATAGCATTAAATCTCATAAGATGCTCTATTACACTGAGGTTCTTATTACCAATAGGAGATTTTCACGAAAACAAGCTTCAGAACTTCATGCATTTGGTAATTTTTTTTCTATTTCTTATGTGGGACACTTATCCGATATCACATAAAATAACAATATGCTAAAAATGTATAGCCACAACTAATCAAATACTACCCCTGACCCAGGACCGGGAAATCTTTATTATAGGTCCCCACCACTACAATATTTGAGCACTATTATAAATTTAGAAAATGTAACCAACTTTAAATAGATTCAAATAATCAAAGTCTTTGTAAAGTTATTGGCTTTGTATGATTCGCAGAAAAATTGGTCACAATCTGATTCGCATCATTATTATATAATCATTATTTATCATATGGCTTTAATATTTTATAGTGATAGTCTTTTTATGATATAATCATTACAGCACGGCCACTATTGATCATGAGTATTATACTATTTATGTTATAAACCACTTTTTTTTTATTGCATCATTCATGCTGCACGATGCATACATCATCCATACTTATATTATGTTATACTATATGAATTAAAGAAGTTTAAAAAAAACAATACAATTTATGATCAATGACCACCATACTATAATATCAATATAGCCACATTGGTACAATGACAATTTTTTTGATTATTCAGAAAATGCTGCTTCGTGGCATTCTTTGATCAAAAAAATTATCAATGTACTAATGTGATGTTATTTCATATTACATATATTATCTAATTATTTTATATTGTTTGGTGAACAAATAAGAATAACAGAATTCAAAACTCAATATATTTATAATAGCAAATTTATGTAATTCTCATTTTAATTACATAATTATTATATAAGGTATCTGACCAAACAATGATTCGCAACATTATCAACTTATTAAAGGTGTTCGTAAAACTGATTCGCTTAATTAGAAAAAAGCCTAATTCGCAAAAAATATAATTAAAATTTTTATGGCAGGGACCTATAATAAAGATTTCTCGGTCCTCCTAACCCTATGTGATGTCGGGTAAGTGTGAATAGCTTTCAGAGAGTTGAGCGACAACCAATTCGATTTTGTTTAGATAATCAAATCAATTCTATTATTTATCACACAATAATCTTGGATATGGACAATAATTTTGTATTTAATCATGGGTGCAAGAAGCATTGATATATTTAAATTGGTTGTCGCTCAACTCCCTAAAAAATATTTCTTAACAGGACACTTACATAGGGTTAGGAGTAGAGTTGCAGCTAAAATAAGGCTTCTGAAGTGTTTTTTATTTGATTATGAAAAGCTAGAAAACTAGTATTAATAAGTAAGAAGAAATATTTAAATAACCATTTAACTTTTATGGAAATAACAATTACCAATTATTCAAATTGATACTTTCTACATTAATTTTTAAGCCATCCGAGCATTGATTTATAAGAGACAAAAAGGAACTTGGAGGAATTAGTAAACCCTATACATTTTAGCAGATTGTTATATCGAATAAGTGGCCTGTCAAGAAAATAACTTTCAGGAAATTTACTGTAAACTTCCTACATTATCCTTGGTAGTGGGGCAAAGACGAAAGAGGTTGAAATAATTTCTATTTTTTTTTTTTTTATAGCCAGTTCTATAACTTGCTATTATTAATCAAAATCATATGATTTATCAAGTTATTTTAAAAACAACAGGCCTAATCAAATGCCCTATATGGTGTCAGATAAATTTAATAGCCCAATTGAAAAAAAAAGGGGAAACATGCAAGGACGCAGAAATTTAAAGTTTGTATTACCAGCAGCAGAGTGCTATCAATTACGAGCATTCTTAATTTTTCTATTTATGTAATATACTGCAATAAATATCAAAATGCCCAATTTCGAAGTAATCATTTTTATAATGATAGCTATATATATTAACTACGTTGTATTAAATTATTTCAACTGTTGAATTAATTTTGATAGGTAATTTATTTTCAACCATTAAATTAATTTTGATGATTAATTTATTTTCAACCATTGAATTAATTTCAACTGTTAAAAATAATTTCAGTTTCAACAGTTGAATTTAATTTTCAACCGTTGAAATTTTCAAAATTAAAATTTAATTTCACTGCCACCTATAGGCATGGCAGCTAGTATAGAACCCTTGGGTGAACTATTTAAATAGGTAACCAAAAGTTACACATATGGCTAGTTGCACACTTACCTTATACAAGTCATATATAATGTATTGACCAAAAACACAATAAAGGTGATAGCTATCGATAACATCGGCTTTAATAAAAATAAAAATAAAAAAATTTAATATTTAATATAATAAAATAATATAATACTAATATATTTGTTTTTGTTTTTAGTTTTTAGTATTGCTATATTAT